TGTGTGTGTGTGTGTGTGTGTGTGTGTGTGTGCATGTGTGTGTTTCTGAGTAAGCAGGAGGTGACATTGGATATGTTCACTGAAGTGCTTCTCCTAAAATTCCTTGTAAATTTCAATCTGATTGTGTGGAAGGTCGCTGCTAAACGTGTCACATAGTACACAAGAGAGGAAAAATGTTTTGTCTTCCTGCCTTTCCGAAACTCCAGGACTGTTTACATCTCAAGATGTGCCTGTGGATCAAACAATTAAAAAAATCAACAGCAAAGTGCTAGAATCTACAGTTCCTCCCATGGCCTGCTGATACTGGAATCCAAAAGCAAGTAAGATCCCACCATGGTGTTTCAATTGGGTTGAGGTCTGGACTTTGACTAGGCCATTGTGTTCATTGGTGTGTTTGAGGTCATTGTCCTGTTGCATGAACCAGTTTGGCCAAGGTTTGGATGGCAGACAGATGGCCATTCCAGTTTTAATTAAGCCAAAACCAAAGTGCCTGAATCTGCAGTTCCTCTCATGGCCAGTTGATATTGGATCCAAAAGCGAGTAAATCCTCATAGACTCCCTTGTTAACAGGAATTTATGCTACCATGTTAGTTTTCAGAGATGTTTAGCTCCAATAGAAATAGGATGCACTTTCTTTTTAACATGACTGTATGCAGAGTCAATAATAATGAGTTTGCCCTCCAAAAAGCCAAGTGTGTGTAGCCTGATGGCAGGGCTATTATGTGTAGACAGAGTACAGGTGTCTGTAAATTTAGAACAGAAAAGGAAGTGACAGCAGAATTCACCACAAAGAGGAAGACGAAAAACACCCATCAAAGAGCAAAAATGCAACATGAGAGGTGGTTTTCATTATTTTTAACACCAAGTTTCACTTCACTCTAAAGAAGTTATTTGTGTAATATAATTCCTGTCTTCTCCACGTGCAGAGGCTGAACACACCAACCGCAGCCTGAACAAGGGTCACCAACAGCCTGCTGATGATTGTACAAAGCAGCTATGGACTGTAAAACCAGTTCTGGTATCTTTAAAATATCCAACTAGATGACAATAAATACCATTTAGAGACTGGTACTACTATGGTTTTGCCCTCTATGGACAGCTTCCCCCCTTTGTGCCTTTGTTTCACTATACATAACTGAACCTCTATCACCAATATACACATAACATTACAGTCATGGTCATTATTTCATTGTTTCGTTGTTGTTAATATTGTTGTTAACATGTGAATAATTCAAAGGCCATTTAAAACATGTAAAACGTAAGTACTTCCACATTTGGAGTAATATTTTTTTTGTTTTGTATCAGATGACATGCTGACCCAAATTGCAAAAAAGCAGACATGCTGTTCTGCTCAAACCTGCCTATGTGATATGTGATCATATCTCAGGATTCAGCTGTCGACAGCCGCTTAGTCACTGGCAGCTGAGATCCAAGTGCTCTTTACATGACTTGCAAAGAAGAAACACTACCTGGGTGTGTTGGTCGTTGTGATTTCCTTTGTAAACTGTCGAGATTTCCACAGTTCCTGTTTTCACGATCCAATGTCTGTAGACTTTTTCTACAGCTAAACTTAGCAATTATTGGTTGTGACACAGTTTTGGCCCACTCTTCTATCCACAGCTTTTTAAGGTCACGAGTTTTTAGTCAGGTTGAGGTCTGGACTTTGACTGAACCATTGCTCCATTTTGATTTTCTTTTTCAGCCATTCTGTTGCAGATTTTCTGCTGTGTTTGAGGTGCTCACACTCAGCAATAATCAATTGTAATCAATAGCTGATTATCAGCATCTGGCTGCTACTTATCCCTTTAAATCCCACGTAAGCAGTAAGTATTTTTCACAGGACTGCACTCAGTACTGTGGAAGCGTTGTTTTTTCATATGACTTTATGTATTCAGTTTTACTAACATGACATTACATATTGGGACTATTCTATTGACCAATGTGATCGTGCATGTATAAGCATGGAAAAACCCAAGGCATAAACACTTGTCTCTTTGGGGACTGGGAAAATACAGCAGAGAGAAGCATACTGCACCAGAGATGTACTGTTGAGATCAGTGAGGGACAGAGACACACATACACATACACACGTACATGTAGATAGAAATTCCTTGATTTACCAGCGAGATTATTACTACATCCAGTGATAACAAATCACAGTGCAGTACAGCCTGACTCAACACGTGTTGAGGCATTCATCAGACTTTTACTTACTCCTATCGATAAAGAGAAACCTATACAAACAATTTGTTGTAACAGGCTGGTTAAACCTGTTCATCAAGCCCCAAGTGAAGCAGCAAAGAAAACAATAAGTGGTTTTGTTTCACAAACCACCTGTTTCATTCTTTTCAAGCCGGTCGTGTCACTTCCTGGTAAGAGGAATTTGACTCTGGTGAATAAACGGTGCAAAGAAACCCTGTAAGTGCACAATATCAGAGTTAATATCAAGACTGAGTATGTCTTTGTTTGGATACGACGGAGCCCTGAGATAAAAAAAAAAAAAACGACCTCCAGTGAAGATGACTACAATTATATTGTTCTCCAGTTCAGTTGTATTTATTTAACAGCAATTCATCAGAACAGTAATCTCACAGCGAGCTTATATTGTAATGTAAAACTCTTTAATTCCAGTAGCGACAGTGGTGAGGAAGAACTAGTTTTTTAACTGGAAAGACCTCTGACAGCAGCAGTCAGAGGTCGCACGTCATAAATGCTGCAGATGGTCACACAGTTGCTGTGAACATGTTGCAAAAATCTTATTAGACAAAGTCACTTGTGCAGCAGGCAGCAGCTGATGACGGATGTGTTTGTAGCAGCTGGACATCCAGTTCCTTTCAGGCTGAGCCCTCACGAGCAGCTCCCCGACAGTCAAAATGCCAAATGTCAAACCATATGCTACACGTGTAAATGTGAGTGACCCCAGATGGTGTAAATCTGCACATGAAGCGAGCCGCAAATCCACGCATTTCCCCTTTTTCTGTTTTCTTTCTGTCTGGTTTGACTGGACGGGTGGAGGCGGGCAGCAGGCTCTGGCTTCTCTTTTTCAGTTTCGTCGCTTGACTCCCACATAGCCCTTCCTGTCAAACATCAGAGCCCTATCCCGTCTTATGTTTATGAATAATCGACCAGCAGGAGGTTGATCAGGGCCCGATGCAGTCATTGTTGACATCATCGCTGTGCATCACACCATTACGATGGGGTGCTAATGCATCATCATCAGTTAGTGGAAGAGGGTGAAGCATCTTAGTGTCAATGATTCTGTGATTAAGACTTTTGTTTTTCACTTCTAGTTTAGTATATGAATATTGAAATGCTAGAAAGTGAGTGTGCAGCCACTAAATGTTGCTTAATTCCAAGGCAATGCGACAGATCTAGAGAAGTTCATTCTCCATCCTGATGGCCTGAAGGTGTTTTCTGAGTCTCTGAGAGTTTAACCTCAAAGTTTAAGAAAAAAATTAGTCATCTACAGAAATGTAAACAGTATAGAGGGGGTTAAAAAACACATCCTGCGGTTTAACAAGAAGTCAGACCACAAAAGAAAATGTTTAGGAAGTGAACTTTATTTAAATAAATAGCCACATAAATAAACAACTTTCTTCAACTAACATTTCTTCTCCTGCCTTCCTCCCTCCTTCTGTTCCTCTTTATAACCTCACACACACACACACACATCCACACGCATGCATCCATACACACAAAGACGTGCTCATGCTCACACAGTCAAGTAACAAATCAGGAAAAAAAAAAACATGAAATACTTCTTATCCAAAGTTTATCACAAGGGTAATTTTACAGGTTTGCATCGAAAGTCTTAGTGTTTCAAAAGATTTGTGATTTTTTTTCCCATCATGAGAAAAAAACGAAAGAAAAAAAATCAGCAATAAGAAATATGAGTAAAGTGCAAATCTCGCTTGTTTAGATAACAAGTTCAAAGGTCAAAGAAAATATCAAAGGGGACGTCTGAGGAAATGTCCTGTAATGGAGCCATCGATCGTTTTTTCTTCAATGTGGGGATCAGAGAGTAGGGGCTGGGGGTGGGGCAATCTGACTGCAGTTTGTTCAGGCAAAGGCACAGGTGTTGAAGTGAGTGCAATAAAC